ATCCAAACAAAGTAAGGAAAGCAATCCCAAATGCTTTCATTTACTTAAAATTATTTGGCAGAAAATTCGACACTTTAATGATGGTCTGGGCCTGGCTGGGGTGACGGCACACGTGCCCGCAGAGAGGGCTCTGAGTGCCACCTCTGGCACCCGTGCCATAGGTTCGCCACCACTGCCATAGGGTGTGACAGAGTCTGAATATCTGAAGTCCAGACGTACACCAATATCAGCAGATTCTCTTCCTAACTATTATAGGCACCCTTGTTGTCTCCTGTGAAATCCCATCTCTGATCTTACCAGGGCCACCACTGCCATAGGGTGTGACAGAGTATGAATATCTGAAGTGCAGACGTACACCAATATCAGCACATTCTCTCTCTTCCTCACTCTTATAGATACCACTGTTATCTCCTGAAAAATCCCATCTCTGATCTTACCAAGGCTCCTGTTAAGATACTAGCTGATCGTAAATCTTCTTCTGGTCCTTTGTCTGGAAAAGTAGCGTGGAAAATTTCTCCAGTCTTAACATTTGCTGCTGGAAAACAAAGTCAGAACACACATAAACCCAGAACTGAAATGGGCCTATAACCCTTGGTGTCCAGGGACAATAAAAACCCATACGGGAGAAAATCTTTCCTACTGCTGTCTGGTGCGTCCCTCTGTTCTCTCAAAGCGTCAGTCACAAAGATGCTCTTTTCTGGATCCAAACAGAGGCATCTGTGCTTTTAAAAAATGATGAAGGCCTAGAAGGGCTACTAATTAAATTTCCTGATGATACCAAATTGGGAGGAGTAGCAAACACCGAAGAAGATCTCAACAAAACCTGAATACTCTGGAGAAGTGGGCAGTTGCAAACAGGATGCAATTCAAGAATGATAAATGCACAGTATTACATCTGGGCCACAAAAATGTCAAGCACAAATACTGGATGGGGGATACGTTTCTGGGGAGTAGTGTATGCGAAAGAGATCTTGAGGTAAGGGTGGACTGTAAACTAAATATGAGCAGTCAGTGTGATGCGGTGGCAAAAAAGGCTAAATTCAGTCTTGGGTTGTATTAAAAGGGCCTAGCATCAAAATTGCAGGAGGTCATAGCCCCTCCGTATACTGCCTTGGTCAGGCCGCACCTGGAATACTGTGTGCAGCTCTGGAGGCCTCACTTCAAAAAGGATGTGGACAAAATTGAGCGGGTGCAGAAGAGAGCGACGAGGATGATCAGGGGTCTGGAGACTGAGCCCTACGAGGAAAGGCTAAGGGCTCTGGGAATGTTTAGTTTGGAGAAGAGGAGATTCTAGATGGTCTGTATGGCCCCTCCCAACCCTATGATTCCATTATTTTTCTTGTTCCTTGTAGGAAGGTTGAAGATTTCATTTGAATTTTATTTCAGGTTCATCTGGTTGTTAGCATTTATTTATTTTACCAGCTACTTGGGTTATTTACCTCTTTGGTTTTATAGTACCATGATGACCAAGGGCCAAGCCCCCACATGAAGTTTACTGGAAGACTTTGGACCAGTTATTCTCTCTTATCCTAATCTACCTCATTGGGGGGGGCATTGCACCCTGCTAAATCTATTGAATTCAATGGACTTAAAAAGAGAACATTCTGCCTACAGCTGCACAGCAAGTATGCTGTTCTGAGCACTAGAAGAAGGGGGCGTAAAAAAGGTTAAGTAAGATTGAGCCACCTTGAGAATTAGAATCTGCTGAGGGGGTACATCTGGAATAGATAAATAAAATACCAGCCAGCTCAAACATTTTCTGCCTTTGACTGAACACCCACTAAGGTGAATGGTTGTCAAATTCAAATATTACTCACCAATTCCATAGATGTATGGATAGTGATTACCCTTTTCCTGCCGGTCATTCAACTCTGTTATTAAGAAAAAGAGAAGGAAAACAAGCAAACGTTATAGCTCCTCAAGCAAAACAACTAGTTACAGAACATTAAAAGTTAGTGTAACTGGAGAACATAAGAACATAAGAGACGCCAATGTTGGATCAGGCCAAAGGCCCATCCAGTCCAACACTCTGTGTCACACAGTGGCCAGAAATACCAGGTGCCATCAGGAGGTCCACCAGTGGGGCCAGGACATTAGAAGCCCTCCCACTGTTGCCCCCCCCCCCCAAGCATCAAGAAGACAGAGGGAAGTTATGTCACCCAGCAAACGTGGAGCAGGATCTCCAGGGGCATAAAAACTGCTGACAACAAGCATCATCGCCTCAGGTCCAAATTTAAACCGAGCAAATCAACAAAGGGATTTAAAGGCTTTTTTCTGGTGCTCCAAGTGGTTGTGATTCTGCAGAGGCCTCAAGCAAAAAGATGGGAAGGAGGGAACAACTGCAGACCTCTCTGCTTAATCTGGCTACTAAAGAGGGCCTTAAGCAAGAACTGCAGGCAATGCAAAACCATCTCTCGGCCTTTTAAAATTCCAGTAATTTTAATTATAAACACCAACTAGAACCATCATCTCATAAGGTGATATAAAAGATTTCCAAGTCCAAACTCTATACCAAATTCAGTACTTTCCTTTTTACACCCAGTTCCATACTTCCTTTTCAGAGTTTCTGTTAAGAAATTCTTATTGCAAACGTCATTCAAAAGGATCCAATGCTGAGCAAAGTCTCTGTGCATATTCCTACTGTATCTGGCTTTGGCACTGGTATTTTGTCCATGATCATTCAAATCATAGTTCCAAATCTGATGAAGTGCAGTGTTTTCAATTCTGAAGTGATTACCATTTTAGCCAATAAATGTGATACTAGATACCATAAATTTTTGGGTAACTGTTCAAAAGACACATGAATGGTATAAAAGCTAAAAAAATTTCTAATTCTTTTCTGAATTGCATTCCAATAATTGTTTATAATGCTGCATCCCCCTGCATCTGGGCCTTTTTATTGACCTTTTTCACTTTGTGTATTATAGTTAAATATCTATTTTGTTGTTTATTCTTATATAATTATTATGCCAATATTGTTCATTTATTATAATTGTTCAACCAACTATAAAATCTTGCCCATGCATTTTCAAAACTTGTTTCATCTCATCCTCTGAGAATTAAAGTTATTTTATCCATTTCAGCAGTTTCTAGTATTTTATTTATGATCTCTTATTTTGAGGGTACTTCTTTCTTCCTACATTATTTGGCATATAATATTCTTGCAGTAATTACTACATGTATAATAAGGTAAAAATCTTGTTTTTTACAGTTTTGTGGCATTATATTCAAAAGAAACAATTCAGGTATAAAATGTATGGTACATTCCAACATCTTTTGTAACATTTCATGAATCCATGACCAATTTTTTTAACTATCACAAGTCCACCACATATGAAAAAATGAGCCAACATTCTTTTGACATTTCCAACAATCGTTTGATAAATCAGGATAAAACATTGCTAATTTATCTGGAGTCATATACCATCTATAAAACATTTTATAGATATTTTCTTGATATGAAATTGCTTTAGTAATTTTTATATTTGTTTTCCATACCTGTAACCATTGATCTAAATCAATATTATGGCCTAAATTTTGTGCCCATTTAACCATAGAATCTTTAATTACTTCATCTTGTGTGTTTTTTTCAACATTATTACATACAATTTCTTAATTTCTCTTCAGTATATAGCATTATCTTATCTATTTCTGTTATTTTTGCATAGAAGCCTATTAATTTGTCTTTAGTATATCTTGATTTTAGCTGTACTCTTTCTAGTATATCTTGATTCTAGCTGTTCTCTTTCCCACCAGCTTAAGTTGGATTCCTGTTTTTTAATACTTTCTGTTGGTTTAAGTTCATTGTTGCTATTCAGTAAATATTCATATCTTAACAATGCATTTCTGTGAAAGAGGTTTGGGTTGGTAAACGCTTCTAGTGGTGAGACCTATTTTGATATCTTAGTATTGAAAAGTCTTTTCACTTCTTACAATACCTTCAACAAAGTGTCAGCAAGCTGCCAATGTTTTGTTTTCGTTTTGTATGTGTGTGTGTGCGCTTGCCCCTTCCTTTGTAGAACCGTAGATGCGCATATCTATGTAGCTCGCCGAAACAATTATCTAGCTCAAGGCCACAGGTGGAGGCAAGGCTTGTTAGTGTCGGGAAGTTCTCACTGAACACTGTGAGAAGGAGATAACATGAGAGACTTGGAACCGTTAGTTCTCAGGCCAAAGGCGCGCGCGGGAACCCCCGCAATTGGTCCGTAGTAGTTTGAATGTTTATTATATGCTTTGAGACTGCGTTTAACCCTCATTCTGAACAGTGATCCTGTTATGCACCTTCAGCTCTAATAAAGTTACCTTTTCTTCAAAAGCGTGCTTATTATGATGCAAGGAGGAGTCCGACACAAAGCTCTTCTAATAAAATGTTGTTTAAAATATTTGTGAGTATCAGCTTTTCCATACTATATAAACACGTGCCAACCTAATAGTCTGACATGGACGCTCTTGCCAGTTCCTGATTCAGGGCGATCACGAACTACCACCTGCTTGCTGCCGCTTGCGGGGAGTCCTGACCAAGCTCCTTGCATTGGGCTTCCTTCCCTCCATTGGGCCCAATGGAGCCCGAGAGCCCTCAAGTTCCTCTATTTGAACCAGCAATCAGGCCGCCTCGAGGGAGCAAGCCCCGAGGATGACCGTCCTCACCGCGCCAAAAACGGGAAGTACCAGACCACCATTAAGCAACCCAAATTAATTAAATTGAAAAGGCTCTGGGTAAGATACAAAACATGGCTGAAAATGCCATTTAAATGGGTCTTATACACGAAGGGGAGATGAGAAGGCCTCAGCAGTCTGAAACAAAACTATGGATGAAGGTAGAAGATAATTTACAGTTTTGAAGCTTTGCAGCAGGGGTCATTTCGTAGAAAAAGAGGTGCAGGAGCTCATTAGCATCACTCATTAGCATAACTTATTTGCATAGGCCACACCCCCTGACATCACCGGAAGTGTGTCAGAAGGCAACACCCACCGCTCAGGCTCCACTGGACTGTTTTGGATTGCTAGCTATGGGGGGGGGACGACGTGCAGATCTGTCCTCACAGAGGAGGGAGAGCTTGTACCTGAATAAACCTTGGTCTTAAAGGTGCCACTGGACTGTTTTGGACCGGGGGGAGGCGGGGGGAGCTCTGCAACTTACCTGGCTGCTTCTTGCTCTGACTGAGGGCTGCTGGGAGCAGGGGGTGGGGCTTGTTGCATGTCCCCGCCCCCTGGGCTCTTTACTGCTGGAGCTCCGCTCCTGTGCGCTCCTGCAAGAAATGACCCCTGGTTTGCAGAACCCCTGAAAGAACCAAATGTAGAATTCTTCTTATCTAGATGGTTTTCACAACTTATGAATCCAGTGTCGCGATCATATAAGAAAGAATTCCCCCTGAAGGATTGTAAGGGGAGATGCTGTGATCACTGACCTCAAGCCAGACATCCTGGAGTGCAAAGTCAAATAGGCCTTAGAAAGCATTACTAACAACAAAGCTAGCAGAGGTGACGGTATCCCAGCTGAGCTATTCAAAGTCTTAAAAGATGATGCTGTTAAAGTGCTGCACTCAATTTGCCAGCAAATTTGGAAAACGCAACAGTGGCCACAGGATTGGAAAAGGTCAGTATACATTCCAATCCCAAAGAAGGGCAATGCCAAGGAATGTTCAAACTATCGCACAATTGCACTCATATCACACGCTAGCAAGGTCATGCTCAAGATCCTACAAGCTAGGCTTCAACAGTACATGGATAGAGAACTGCCAGAAGTACAAGCTGGGTTTCGAAGAGGTAGAGGAACGAGAGATCATATTGCCAACATTCGCTGGATTATGGAGAAAGCAAGAGAGTACCAGAAAAACATCTACTTCTGCTTCATTGACTATGCTAAAGCCTTTGACTGTGTGGATCACAACAAACTATGGCAGGTCCTTAAAGAGATGGGAGTACCAGACCACCTCACATGTCTCTTGAGAAACCTGTATAAGGGCCAAGAAGCGACAGTTAGAACCGGATACGGAACAACTGATTGGTTCAGCATAGGAAAAGGAGTACGACAAGGATGTATACTGTCACCTTGCTTATTTAATATATATGCAGAGTACATCATGCGAAATGCTGGCCTGGATGAATCACAAGCGGGAATTAAGATTGCTGGGGAAAAGATCAACAACCTCAGATATGCAGACGATACCACTCTAATGGCAGAAAGTGAAGAGGACCTAAAGAGCCTCTTGCTCAGAGTAAAAGAGGAGAGCGCAAAAGTGGGCTTGAAGCTCAACATCAAAAAAACTAAGATCATGGCATCCGGCCCCATCACTCCTTGGCAAATAGAAGGGGAAGTCGTGGAAGTAGTGACAGACTTCACGTTCCTGGGATCCCAGATCACCGCAGACTGTGACTGCAGCCATGAAATTAAAAGACGCCTGCTCCTTGGGAGGAAAGCGATGGCGAACCTAAACAGCATGATAAAAAGTAGAGACATCACCCTGCCAACAAAAGTCCGCATGGTCAAAGCAATGGTATTCCCAGTAGTCATGTATGGCTGCGAGAGTTGGACTATAAGGAAGGCCGAGCGCAGAAGAATAGATTCTTTTGAACTATGGTGCTGGAGAAGACTCTTGAGAGTCCCTTGGACTGCAAGAAGAACAAATCAGTCAATCCTCAAAGAAATCAACCCTGACTGTTCCCTGGAAGGCCAGATAATGAAACTGAAGCTCAAATACTTTGGCCACCAAATGAGAAGGGAGCACTCACTGGAGAAGACCCTGATGCTGGGAAAGATTGAAGGTCAAAGAAGACGGGGACGGCAAAGGATGAGATGGTTAGACAGTGTCA